TTGGAATGGCAATTTCAAGGCCTACATCTTTTATGAAAAAATTATTTCTTTTAGAATTCATGTAAAGGAGTTACAAGGAATTGAAGGTGGCACTTCCAAATCAAAGGTAGTAAGTGAATGGTTTCATTTGTAGTAATGGTTGGAGCCATAACTTGAGTCTTTGGACAAAATTTTGGCTCAAATTTTTGAAGAATGTAATACTTTGTGTTGAAAAGCTATATATATAAATTTTATGGCATTTGAACTTATATTTTGTGAGATATAAAGAAAATTGCATGCACGTGTATAAATTTATGAATTTAAAGCGACTATCAAAGTTTTCATGATATCTCAAGTTTCACAATAAATTTGTAGTTAAAATTTATTAAAGAAGTTAATAAAAATACATCACTACCTTATGTAAAATTTGAGTTTTTTTGGATAGTTGGATTAAGAGATATGATGTGTTGAAGTTTGGAAAAATTTCCACATAAGGATATACAAGGTTTTAGAGGATTTTATCATATTTTGAATGTTATTGGTTACTTGAGGCTTATGTATTAGGTGTAATTGCTCAAAAAGGAAAATTTTATATATAAACTTGATCTTTTTTATCTCAAGAGTTAATTAAGTAATTAGTAACAACCAAGAGCCTAGTGTGTTCTTGAGGCAAATTCTCTCTACCCTAACAACAACCTTACAAAAAGCATGGCACCACCTCCTTACTGCAAAGAATCGACAAAACCATTATACGGATAATCATTGGCAACATAAGACCTTTTGAGGGAGGGTGATCAGGGATTACTCTCTGATGCCAACTTGCGACTTGTTACATCAATCAAAATCTGTAAATTAGTACCTTTGTAGCTTTGACCTTTCCGCATTTCTACAGTGATTTTTAATGTTGCATATGACCTCGAGCTTTCGCCAAATATTTGGATCCATCTAATCTTCCATATTTTACAATTGAAGGAATTTCATACCAAGCCAAAGTGCTTTTCAAATCGATATCAACCACCACCACCACTAGTTGTAGTTGATGACCAACAAGAATATGAAGTGGATAGCATTTTGGAACATTGCTACCTTCCTTGTGGCAATGGACGTCCACAACTTCAATACAAAGTTCTTTGAAAAGGTTATCCCATTTGCAATGCAATATGAGAACCTGCACAAAACCTCACCTATTGCCAAGAGACAATTTGGAAATATCATCAGGAGCAAAACGAGAACGTTCCACATTAGTAGACAGAAATTAACTATAACATGGTATAAATAAGATAATTATATAGATAATTAGAACTATAGAAGTTTTTAAAATTGAAGTTAGGTTAGTGGACCAAATAGGATCTACCATAGAATATTTTAAAAGAATTTAAGATAATTATTTAAATCGGGCCTACCATGGAACCTTCTTAAAAGGACTTTAAGGCAGTTATTTTGATGGAATCTACTACCTAGAAACATTCTAAAAAATCTAAGGTGATAGGATAAGGTATAAATAGGATTGACTAGGGCCTTTTGGGGCATTTGATCAAATATGGCTTTAGATCCTTTTTCTTAGTAAAGTTTAGTTTTGCATCTTTTTATTCAGTATTTTTTAATTATATTTCTATTTTTGTGATATAATATAACTATATAATGAAACTATAATCAAAATTAAATTTCTAATTAATATCTAATTATCTTGGTTCAATAATAATTTAATGTATCTAAACATGGCTTTTATAAAAGTCTCTTAGATTATTTTCTAATCTTAATAGTTCGTAGATTAAAGGTTGGTTAATACTTTTATCTTTTAGGCTATAGAAACTCTTTTACTATCTTACAAAGATCATAAATTGATAAAATTAGATTAGAAGAGATAAATAATAAGTATGATTGATACTAGGATTAAGTTGAGAATAGGATTGGACTAAAAAAATCCTTATGATAGATTAGATTGATACCCAAGGGTCGACTGTTTGTGAGACAGGGTTAAAATCAAATCTTTGGATATTAAAACAACCGCCTAGGGCAAAATAGGATTTCATTTGAACATCGAAGATTAGAATTTGAGAGCTAGATTTAAGCTCTTTTTAAAATATAAGGCTTGTTTTTGTAGGATTTGTAAAGACTTGGTAATTGTTGTTCAAAGTCAAGGTTTGTATTGGTGATTTGGATTTTATGTTGTACAATTAGGCTAGCACTTTTGGCTAGTTCGTACAATTGATATAACATCTATGGTTCAAAATTTAATACTGTTTAGATTGTTAGGTGTTATAAGTATAGACAAAATTTTGTAATAATCCAATAATGCAATTGGAAGATATCAAGGTTTTGATACAAGAACATACCAGAAGTTGGCAGTTTGGAATTGGATAGGATTTCTATGATATCTAGAGATCTACTATTTGGATCAAGATAAAATATGGCTTGGTGGTAGAAGACTTGAAGATCAAGCTATACATCAGTTTTGAATAGAAGTTAATAATTAGAAAAGAAGAAATCACTACTAGAACTTTTGCATCAATTTTTAAGTTGGCGGCCAAGTGACATTAGCGCAATTTTTGAAAGTTTTTTCACAATCTGTAAGTTGAAATGGGCTGAAATTTTTTAACCATATATAAGACTTACATTGATAATTGCTTGCAAAATTTCATATCAAGTGGATGATCAGATTAGAAGTTACAGCTTATCAAAGCTCACTGATTAGGAATAGGCCTTACAAGAAAAATCTAAATTGCTTAAATATGAAAGTAAAAAGATAATTGGGATTTATGTATGATTTAAGCTACTAAGAAGAGTGTTTTTTAGCACTTTTGAATTGAAATTCGGATTATATTCTTTTCATATAGGTAAAATCTATTAAGATTTCTTGGATACTTGTGAAATACAACTTCACCTTTCTTTAGCTAGGTGCCTTATGCATTCCAAAACAAGACAACATGTAATATGACACCGTCTATTTAGTTGTCTTTCATATTCTATTCTATATAGTTCAATTCAATTTTGTTTTGTCATATTTTGTGATGAGATTTTATGTTGCTGTGGAGTAGAAGGATCTTGAATTTTTGAGATAGTCTCGCCTTGTTTTATTTTTAGTATTGACTCAAATACATAGATACTTTGCATACTACATTATGACTAAGAAATCTTCACATTAGAGTGTATTAAAGCCTTCAACACACCAATTTTACACTTCTAAAAGGTGTAATTATTCATAAATAGTTGATGAAAAATCAAACACTCTTCTAACCATCATCATAAACTTATGAAAATTTTTAATCCAATTGAATGTTTGCTTAGTTTGTTAATAACAAAAAGTTAAAAACAATTCAAAAATCCATATATAATTTCTATTATTGCTTTACAGTAAATATTAATAGCTTTTGAAAAAAAATCGCCTAAAAGTCAAGGTATCAAATATAAATTGAGAACCTAATGTCAACGATATGAATTTCTAAGAAATAAAAGATCAATAAATTCTTGTGATACTCAAAAATACTAAAAAATCATTCAAAGATGGTTTAATATTAAACTATAATGGGTATTATCAAAGACAAGAAGACTAAAAAGTTTTGAAATAAGACCAAGGACTAAAAAGACATTAACAAGAATGAAGAAGGCTTCACTATTGCATCTATATATATTATCTAATTAAGAACTACATGGCAATTTTCAATAAGATCTCCAACACATGTTTAATTTATAATACACATGTCTTAACTTGCAAGGTAAGTTTCTTATATGGATGCCACATTGTTAGATTGTTCTACAAGCTACCTACATGTGTGACACATGGCTAACTTATTGGCAAAGTTTCTAACATACCAATCAACTATAAATATGTATAAAGTAAAATACTTATTTATGAAGCTTCTAAGAAGCTTTGCCACAAGATAATATCAAATCTACTTACATTTATCTTCTATCTAGCACTTCTTATTTAAATAAATATGTATGTCCATGACATTATCTATCCTTCTAGAAACAAGTTCTACAAAGAGTGATCATCATTTGTTGAGCAAGTCAAAAATGCGGCGAATTACATTTGCCACATACTCTAATCTTTCTTTCTTTCAAAAGTAGTTGATGGGTCCTCTCAATAACTAATAGTACCTCATATCAAGGCAAAAAGATGATTATGTTATTTGATTATTATTAAGGCCTTTATAATTTCCTTAAAATAAAACATTTGGAACATTGTTAAGAGTTGTTTCTATATCCAATAAAATCACCAAACATTGAAAGTCTCTTTTAAGGATATAATATCAAATGCATTGTATCTTTCTATCTATTTGAGAAATAACATATTATTATTGAAGATCTTTATCTCTATTATATTGTCTTGAAGGTTGTGATAATCGCAATGTCATATTTGGTAAGTCAATAAACAATAGCTTTTGAGTTGAATTTGGTGGTTGTTGATTTTCCTTCTCTTTAGTACTACAAATACACAAAAACTACAATAAGGATAGAAGGTAGAATGTTATCTTTCCTAGATCTTGTTTCTTTTGTAGCAATAATTTGCTAGTCATCTTAGTTTTGATAGATCATGTTAGATTTTGATTCTAACAACTTTTCATAAAATGAATAATTTTTTTTTGGAAATCAAAATACATAAACGACAAGAAATTCATATGAATTAAGACATATCTTGCATTTTTATTTAATACTTTTATTTAAATAGGTAAGTAGAAAGGATAATATTCATTAACTTCAATATAAATAGAATTCTTCATTAAACAGAATTAAAGCCAAGAAAGCATTGGTACTATTTTATTTGGTTTGGCACAAACACACAACAAAAAATATTTAGAGACAAAAACATTGGTATCGATATTCATAACATATGTCCCCTTAATATTCCAAACACACCAAAAACATATTATTAAGGTAAGAATAATTTATCCATAGGAGATGTTTTCAAAGAAGCCCAAGTTGATATACTAAAGGTTCCATTACTCAGCAAAGCAGTTAATTCTACTCCATTTCAGAGAAAAAAAAAAAAAAAAACAACAACAACAACAACAACAACATGAACAACATGGGCTTATTTCCAGAAGCTGCAGTGAGGATAACATACAACCTCTCTTTCTTAAAAGAGTCGACTTCAGTGTCTATCTGCCAAGATGATGGTTTTATGCTGGATTTCCAGTTGTATGTATGTGGCAGTCATGGCTATTTACCACACTCCAGGAATCAGCACACACCTTTCCTTGGGAAACCCGTCAATCTTTTTCAAGTACCATTTCTTCGTGCTCGCCGAGCGCGATGTCAAGTAAAATGACACTAAAGCAGCCAAGCTGCAGGCAACCAGTGTTTGGCTGATGAGAGCTATGCCCACAAAACTTAGAATCTCACAGACGTAATGGGGGCACACGAAGACACCGAAGAGGCCGCCCTGCGGTGCCATATACCCCATGTTGCTGCCCTTTCGAAGGTTGGCGAGTAACCAGTGATGGTACCCATTTCCTGTGATCGCCACCAGAAAAAGTGCTAACCCTGGCCACTTCAGGTTAGGTGTCGGTGCTGCAAAACCTTGCGCCGTTACCCATAGTTGCGCGTACAAGAGAATTATCGTGTTTGAGAAATAGGCGTTAGTTATAAATGCGACGGTGTTGGCGGTGGTTGTTCCGGAGAACTTCTGGACGAACAGAACCTGTGGAACAGCCAAACGAGAGGAAAATGGGTTGGAATTCGCAAGTTTCAATTTTACACAATCTGTACTTCTTTTTCACGGTCTAGGCTTCAGATTGCGTTTAAAACTATGTAACAAGAATTTGTTTTGACCTAGCGTTACCCGCTCGGAGAAGACACTGTAGCATGTACCACTTTTTTAGAGATTTCCTGGGGAAAGTATGAGGGATGACAAAATAAAGATGTTAACAGTGGATAGGTCCAGTGATTCTATTTTTTATGTTCTCAAACAACTGCCGAGATCTACAAATTGACCTGGAGCACGAAGGGACTAAAACATTTCTCAATTTGATAAATCGGCCCATTCACATGCAAATTGGAGTTCACGGCAGGCTCAGCAATTCGAGTTAGCCAACCGCAGCATGAGCCAATTGAACGAAATTACAGGGTATGTACCTCCAGGAGTCGTTTGTCGAATAGAAGGCTCAAAGCTAGAGCCACGAGCAGAAGACGGTTGTCGGAGTCGTTAGACACGGCCTGCTCAATGAGAGACGCAGCGCTGGAAGCTCCACAGGACTGCAGCAATGAAGGGAGCATGGGCAAAACACCGAGCATGTATGCGACCAAGACACTGGCCACCACACCTGAAGGCAAATAGTTCAAAAACATTCCTGTTTTGCCCGAAAGAGTCCTCGTCTTGCTGTCATTCCCGGTAGCAAATTTGGAGTATTGCAGCTGGTTTCCTGTCAACTCACTCAACATCATAAGAATTCCTATACCTAGAATCACCAGGGGAACAACAGAGAGAATGCCGCTGTCGGGTTGCGGAAACAGTCCCCATGGTGCAGCCATCTGATAAACGATATTGTCTCAAAATCCCTTCCAACTTGAACCCCCACCGCTCTGGACAATAAACACCGTGAGAAAAACTCGATAAGTGAAGCCTTGCCTCCACACCAGTGTTAGACGCTATCCGTGGCTCGGCTATAGAATTGGAGTGCGTACATCAGCTTGATTTGAAGGCCAAATATCCTCCTCATGTCTTCGAAGAAATACCAAGAACCGAAGAAAAGAAAGCTTGGTTGAGACGTCACAAGATCTCCGTGTCGCTTATCCACGAGAACAATGTCCTTTGGAATCGGCGTTAACTTTCCAGCTTGGACGTCAATATCATGTGGGTCGGTCAAAAACAATCCGACCCACAGTATCTGAACCACGATGCGCATTAATCATGTCTTAATGTAATTTTTCATGCGGCACGTGCGCTTCCACCCAGTGAGGTGTGAAAATGCGTGATAGCATGCTTGCATGTGTGTCGTATTGTGGTAGGTTTACCAGTTGCCATTGTTGTCGTCAACATGATTCAGTCAATCCACGACAGAGACTATTTGACTGTTCAAAGTCGTCGTTTTGTAGTGAAATCTATCACCGACGCCGAAAACAGGAGCCTCGACGTCGCATATTCCTCGTTATAAGTGGATTTAGCTAAAGGTCTGAAACTTTGTATATGCTTTATTTTTCTAACCTTCTTTTACAAGTAACGGACAAAGTCTCTAATATTAACGTAAATAAGAGGGTAACATGAGATATTTGTGTATAAACATCTTCTTTAAATGGACAAACATGGGTGCAAGTTAATATACAAAAGCCTTGCCATATTTGAGGGGGTATTTCTACTTAAAGAGCAGTGTCAGTGTCACAGGAGGGCTCACGAGGCAAGGGATGACATCACCAAGTAGCACTAGGGTGGTGTCATGTGGGCTAAAGTTTGTCGTGTCTATTTTAATAGAATTTAGATCCTTTCGATTGATTATAAAATCAGAAATCCAAATATAAGTTTAAAAATTAAATAACATTTATAAGTGTCAAGTTAAATATATCTTATATTAAATTTCTATTTTACTACTACTAAAATGATTTTACTTGTCTTTTCAATTCCTCCTCATGATTACTTTTTATAATTCAGCTTTATAATTTTTTTTATAATTTATCTTTATAGTTCTTCTTTACAATTACCTTTAGATGTTACTAATGCCACCATAGCTCTTTTTATTGCCTCTACAATTTGCTATCTACTACATATCACCAAAAAAATTTACTAATGTCACTACAAGCTACCATAAATTTGTATTACACACTACAATGCAACAATATTGTTGTGTTTATATACAAATATCTCATGTTACACAGTATGAAACATTATTGATGCACACCTCAATAGATAAAATGTGTAATTTTTATGGATGTTTGTATTAGTATTTTTTAAAAATATATTATAATATATAACTCAATTTTAGGGTAGTTTGTAGTTGTTATGAATATATATACTTACATGGATTAAATATAGGTTATTAATTATACTTACTAGAATCTATGAAAATCTATTCAATGTTTCATGTGTATTTTCTTGAGCTATATAAGATAGTATATATATCGAAGAGAAGACAAATGACACATTATTATATAAAAATAGATAATAATCAAGACATTGAGGTCAAAGAACTGTTAGATTCAAGCCAATACCAAATTAGGTTAAAATATCTTATATATAGGTATGGATATGATATTAGTAAATACATATGGAAGCTAGCCAGGAATCTTATTAATATAGCAAAGAAAGTTGATGTTTTTTTATTGACAACATCTATTAAAATCAAGATGATAAGTAAAAAAATTCTTTAATATATAGAAACAAGTTTTAGTAAAGATTGTATTCTATCTTCTATCATTCTTTGTGATTTTTATATATTTATAGTGCTAAGAAGATAAAGAATCAATAATAAACAAATTCAACTCAAATATTATTGTTTGTTAAATTATTGGACAAAGTATTAAGATTCTCATAATTTTCAAGACAACGTAATACGTATGAAGATCTTTAAGAACAACATATTCTTTGTAAAATAGATAGTTAAAGATAATGTGTTTGGTATCACAACCTTAAAATAAACTTTTAATATTTGGTGATTTTATTGGAGATAGGAACCATTTCTAGTGGTGATCCAAATGTTTTATTTGAAGGAAGCTACAAAGGCCTTAAGAAGGTGATCAAATAACAAGGTGGTTTTTTTGCTTTGATATGACATACTATTGATGGTTGAGAGGACCTATCAACTACCTTCAAAGAAAACAAAGATCAAACTATGTAGCAAATATAATTAGTTGCTTCTTAAACTTTGCCATCATGTAATCATTGTTTTTTTTGAAATTTGTTTCTAAAATAAGAAGTAATATTATAGATATATATATTTAATTAGTTTAAAATAAATAAAAATAATTATTTTTTATAAAATTTATAGAGAAGCTTTTTAGAAGCCTTATAGATGTGGATTTGACTATTTAGGTCTTTGTTGGTAATTGATAAGTTAAAAACTTGGTTAATAAGTTTGCCATATAACTTTTAGTTAGATAGTATATGTAGAGGCAAGAGTGCGACATTCTTTATTCTTGTCAATGTATCAAGGACAAGAACTCGATGAAAAAGCAATTCAGACAAGTGAGCCTTCACTCAAAGAAAGGTAACAAAATATAAATAAACAAGTATATATATTGAAAGAGAAACTAGAATGGCTATTGCCAAAAGACAAGAAAACTAGAGACCCTTGAAACTCGACTGGAAGCAAGAAAAGAGTTGACAAGAGTGAAGAAGGCTTCACTCATGTCTCTATATATACTATCTAAGTAGAGGCTACGTGGCGATGTTCTATAGGACCTTCAATATGTCTTGAATTTGTAGGACATATGCCTTGACTTACAAGGCAAGTTTTTCTATGTGTGGACCACATAGTTTGCTTGATCTTCAAACTAACAACATGTGTGGCACATGGCCAACTTATTGACCATGTTTCTAATCCAAAAAGTCAATAAAAGAAGCCTATGAAGTCAAAGCAGCATCTATGAAGCTTCTAAGAATCTTCCATATTAAATACTATAGAATTAACTTACTTTTACCTACTTGTATATATAATTACTAGCTTACATAAATATGTCCGTGACATTATCCCCCCTTCTAGGGACGAGTTCCACGAGGAGCGGTCATCATATGTTGAGAAAATCTATGATGCCACGAATTGTATTCGCACCAAATTCTAATCTTTGTTCTCTTCGAAGAAGATTGATAGGGCCTCTCAACCATCGGTAGTATCCCATACCAGGGTGGGAAGACCACCTAGTTATTTGATCATTGTTGAGGCCTTTATAACTTCCTTCGAATAGAATATTTGAAACACCATCAGGAGTTGTTCCTACCTCTAGCAAAATCACCAAACATCGGGAGTCCCTTCTCAAATCGTGATACCAAATGCGTTGCATCTCACCATCTATTCGAAGAAAAACATGTCGTTATTGAAGATCTTCATGTCGATTGCATCGTCTTGAAGGTTGTAATAATTGTAATGTCTCATTCGGTAGGTCGACAAATGAATACTCTTAAGTCAAATCTGCTGGTTGTTGGTTCTCCATCTCTTGAACGTCACAACTACAAAGAAGCTACAAACAAGGATTGAAAGTAGAATATTATCTTGCCTAGATGTTGTTTCTTTTATAAAGAAGGTTTTCATCTTGATTTTGATGGATATCATTGACAAAAAGCCTCCACCGCCTTTGTTGCATTTACAAGATTCTTTATTGGCTCCCATGTGCATTCACTAATATCATATCCGTGCCAATGGACAAGATATTCCAATTTATTTCGGCATCGCCTTGAATCTAAGATTTCTTCTACTTCAAACTCTTCATTATTGTCCACTACCGTAGGAGGAGGTGGAGCTTGTCTTCTTCTTGGTATGTCCACTATCTTGTATGGTTTAAGAAGAGACATATGGAATACTGGATGGATTTTCATTGACTCCAGTAGATGTGAAGGATATGCAACTGGATTGATTTGTATAGAAATAAAAAATGGTCCAAGCCTTCAATAGTCCAACTTGTCACAAGGATGAGTGGTCTTGATATTGCGACAAAGTAGCTATACCTTATCACCCAAGAGGAATGGTGATTGTTCCTTTTGATAGACATCCGCATTGATCTTTTGTTGTTCTTGAGCCTCTTTTAACTACACCTTCATCATTGCATGTAGCTCTGATAAATGAATCACCAAATCTTTTGCAGCAGGATTATCAACTTTTGAAAAGTCAAAAGTATCAAGTCATGGATGATAACCATAATTAGCAAAGAAAGGTGTTTGTTTTGTAGAAGAATGTACCGTGTTATTGTGAACAAACTCTGCCAATGGCAAAAGAATTGTCCAATCATCTTGTTGGTAGTTAATGGTACATCTTAAATATTGCTCCAAAACTTGATTAATACGCTATGTTTGTCCATCAATTTGAGGATGGAATACCGAAGATAGTTTTATATCAACTTTTAGAATCTTAAAAAGAGTCCGCCAAAATCTTGATATAAATTGAGTTCTCCTATTTGATATAATATCCATGGGTAATCCATGATAGCAATAGATATTGTCAAGAAAGAGCTTAAATGTTTCTTCAATCATAAGAACTTGAGATTTGAAGATCCGTGATGAAGTCCATAGAAACAGAAGACCATGATTGTTTTGGAATGGGTAATGGCTAAAAAAGTCCGTAAGATCAAAGACGAGGAGTTTTTAATTTTGAGCAAATATCACATGATTGTACAAAATCTTTGACTGCCTTCCACATTTGAGGCCACCAAAAATCCTTAGATATCTGCTCTAAAGTCTTATTATATCTAAAATATCTTGCTGCTAGAAAGTCATGACGAGCTTGAAGAATACGTAAACGTGCTTCTCCTTTTGGAACATATAGGCCTCCTTCGAAATAGAGTAGGTTGTTCTTGAATTCAAATTTAGAGAGATCATGAGATTTAGAAGAATTATTCTTGATATCATGAACAAGAGGGTCTAAAGACATACTTAACTGGACTTGCTTAAGAAAAGTTAAATCAACAGTCAATGTTGATTTTATTGCTTGAAGATGAAATTGCTCTGGCTTCAAGAAAACCATTTTTTGTTTGCTCAAAAGCTGCATCTCCATCTTTTGGTACAAGATAAAAACGTCTAGATAAGATATCGGACAAACCTTGTTGTTTTCCTGGCTGA